AAGAGCCAGGACAGCAGTGTAGTTGAAAAGGGGTGAGCAAAAGGGGAACTGGGTTTCAGAGAGATAGTGAGATGTCTGATAGGTTAAGGCTTTCTAGGCTACAATGAGAACTCTGGCTTGCGTTTTGAGTGAAATGGAGAACCACTGGAGGGCTTTGAGCAAGAAAGTAACATGATCTGATCCCTCTGGCTGCTGTGTGGAGAACAGACTATAGCAGGGGCAGGGTTGGAAGCAGGGGGACCAGTTAGGGGACTGCCACAAAGCCCAGGCACGAGGTGATGGTGGCTCGGACCAGGGAATGAGCAGTGATGAAGATGAGAAACGGCTGGACACAAAGTCTTGTTTACTCTCTCCAGTGGAGCAAGAGAAAATTCTCTCATTGTTTTCAGATGAACCCCTAGAAAAATAAGACATAATTGAAATCACTTTACCTTACAAAAGACACAGCAGACCTGAGCCATCCAAGCCGCTGAGTGCATCTTAGATGCACAGATTCTGGGTACCCCAGAACTTCCCAGTCGAGGGTCTCATTTGTCACTCCCCGTGAGATGATATGTTGGAGTCCATTTCCATGGAACAATGGAAAATTGGTAAGTGGAACAACCAAGCCATCCTGAAGAGAGCTGACATCTGTTGAGTTGAGTCTATTCGAGGCGCCCTTCGCCCTCGGCATTGATCTTGGGTACGGCCAGCACCATCAGTTTCTTTTCCCTTTCTCCTTTTTTTTTTAAGATTTTATTTTATTGTTTTTAAAAGATTTTATTTATTTATTTGACAGAGAGAGACACAGTGAGAGAGGGAACACAAGCAGGGGGAGCGGGAGAGGGAGAAGCAGGCTCACCACCGAGCAGGGAGCCCGGCACAGGGCTCAATCCCAGGACCCTGGGATCATACCCGAGCCGAAGGCAGACGCTTAACCAACTGAGCCACCCAGGCACCCCTTTAAGATTTTATTTTTAAGTAATCTCTACACCCAACGTGGGGCTCAAACTCACAACCCCGAGGTCAAAAGTCGCACACCCTCCACCGACTTGAGCCAGCCGGGCGCCCCGCACGATCGGTTTTGTACCGTTCATTTGATGCAGGCAAGATAACATCAAACAGAAAGCACCTACTGAAGCTAATTTCCTTGGGAGGGGGTGACAGTATGGCGGATGCTCTGAGTTTCATAGACTCCTCTCTAGATACTTTGCCTATTTAAACCCTGATGAGTCATTGGCTAGCTAAGTTAGAGCACAGAGTATGGAGAGACGACGAGGCCCTTGAAAGCCATGCCAACAAACTTGGACGTGATCTTGTGTATGCAAAAGGGGGAATCACCTGAGGTTTTAAAGCCTAAGAGAGACATGCTCAGGCTTCTTGAGGTTAATTTGGAATTCCCCAGGAGGTAGAACCTTCTCTAGAGGCAGGGGAGTGAAGGAAGAAAGAGCTGTAGCGGTTGTAAATTGTTCACATGGGAACTGATGGGGATTTGAACAAATGGAATGGAATTGAGAGACCCGATTGGGCCCTCAGAGAACTGACAATCTGAGAGATGATGAAGGCCCATGACTAACGAAGTGTGTGTCTGTGCGTGTGTGTGTAAGGAAAATCCTACCTCAGGATTTCCTCACGTGGCCAAGCCTGAGATCTCTGCAACCCAGCTCTTCAGGGGAGTCACCTGCTCTCTCCATCATGGAGCCCCTGACACTCTAGAATCCTTGGGGCTTACTTGTACTTTTATAGCTTCCTCACCCTTAGTCCTCAAACAGAAGGGGAAAAAGTATTCTTTTGTTCTTTTAAACTGAAAACCAGAATCTGATAAATATGTAAATGAGTTGCTTGCCTGCTGAAGCATACAGCTAAACTATGATCCAAGCAGTGGGAACGTTGAGATCATTTCCTGAATTCCTTCTGTCCCAGATGTTAAGACTGATACACTTGAAGTTTCTATAAACTTAAGCCCTCATTTAAGAATTTAAATTTTGAAGACGGTCTAAAGGAAAACCTTCACTGTAGAAAGGGCCAATTTGACTATTAATTCTGGGTTAGATGTTCTGTGGTGAGCAAACAGGTCCAACCTGTATGGTTAATTACTAGAACTAACAAATTTTTTTCTGTCATGAAGAATGTAGGGCTCTAAATTGTTACCAATGGTTATTTTTGAGATTTAGGAGTGCGTGTTGGGGGGGGGGGGAGTGGATATTAAAAGAGAGTGTTTATCCTTTTACTTTACGTGCTCCTGTAGTGTTTGAATTTTTAAACATGTATTCTTTTTTTGTAATTTCAGAACAACTAAAAGAATTTGATTAGATGTAAATTGTAACGGCTGTACAGAGGATCAAAGGAATCAGTCTGAATTATCTGATTTTAACTGAATTTGAAAAAGACGATCTGATATTATCTAAGTACCAGGAGGCAACTCGTCACGTTGCAGCTGCCTAGCAGCAGATTATAATGTGTCTGCAAAAGCATCCCACAGGCCATGACCCTGGAAGTGGCCTTGCAAGCTGAGCAGGATTTCCTTACAACACAGGGAGAATCTGAAGGACCTTCTCACTTTCCCATAAACAAATACAAGTTCCTCTATTCTGCTGTGTTTTTATTTTTATTTTCTAAAATTATGTAGGTTATACATCCTCCCTGTAAAAACAAAATTCAGACAATACAGACATATGAAAACCTTATTCTTTCAGAAGTAACCACTGTTTGGAGTTTGGTTGTGTGTCCTTTCAGATTTTGCACACGCACAATTTCAGCTCCTAGTTTTCTTTTTTTTCTTTTTTTAAGTAGGTTCCACACCCAGTGCGGAGCCCGGCATGGGGCTTGAACTCACAACCTGGAGACCAAGACCTGAGCCGAGACCAAGAGTCGGATGCCTAAGGGACTGAGCCACCCAGGCACCCCTTCCTTTTTTATTTTTTTAAGATAGAATTCATATACCATAAACTTCGCCATTTTAAAGATTTTATTTATTTATTTATTTAAATTTATTAGAGAGAGAGCGAAAGCGAGAGAGATCACAGAGGGAGAGGGAGAAGCAGACTCGCCACTGAGCGGAGAGCCCAATGCGGGGCTCGATTTCAGGACCCTGGGATCATGACCCGAGCCAAAGGCATCCACTCAACTGACTGAGCCACCCAGACGCCCCAAACTTTGCCATTTTAAATAAGTGTACAATTCAGTGGTTTTCAAAGATTTTTTAAAAATTTAAGTAATCTCTGTACCCCACGTGGGGCTCAAAATCCCAACCCCGAGATCAAGAGTCACATGCTCTTCTGACTGCGCCAGTCAGGCACCCCCTATTCAGTGGTTTTTAATATATTCATAAAGCTGCACAATCATCACCACGAATTCCAGAACATTTCATCACCCCAAAAAGAAACCCTATACCCATTAGCAGGCACTCCTCATTCCCCACTCCCCCCACCCATCCTGGCAACCATTAATCTATTTTCTGTCTCTAAAGATCTACCTATTCTGGACATTTCACTTAAATGGAATCACACAATATGTGTCCTTTAGTACCTGGCTTCTTTCACTTAGCATGTTTTCAAGGTTCTTCCACATTGTGGCATGGATCCATGCTTCATTCCTTTTTACGGTTGAATAATATTCCATCCTGTGGATAGACCACATTTTGTTGATCTGTTCATCAGTTGATAGACATTTACATTTTTTCCAGTTTGGGGCTAATATGAATAATGCTGCTATGAGTATCCACGTATACATTTTTGTATGAACGTACATTCTCCGTTCTTTTAGAATTGCTAGGTCGTATGGTAACTCTATGTTTAACTTTTCTTTGAGAAACTGTCAAGCTGTTTCTCACAGCAGCAGCACCATTTTACTGGCAACGTACAAGGGCTCCAATTTCTCCACACCATCATCAATACATGTTATTTTCTTTCTTTCTTATTCTAGCCATCCCCATGAGCGTGAAGTGGTACCTTATTTTGGTCTTCGATTTGCATTTCCCTAAGGACTAATGATACTGAGCATCTTTTCTGTGTGAGTGGCTGTTTACATGTCATCCTCAGGGGGCACCTGGACGGCTCAGTCAGTTAAACATCTGACTCTTGGTTTTGGCTCGGGTCATGACCTTGATGTCCTGAGATCAAGCCCTGTGTTGAGCCCCGGGTCAGGCTCTGCACGCAGCGGAGAGTCTACTTGTCCCTCAGCCCCTCCCCCAACTTGCGCGCGTGCGCGTGCACTCTCTCTCTCTAAAATAAATAAAATCTTACATATCATCTTTGGAGAAATGTTTATTTAAATTCTTTGCCCATTTGAAAAGCTGGGTCAATTTGTCTTTTTACTGTTGTTCGTTGTATATTCTGGATGCAAGTCCCATAGCAGATATAAGATTTGCAAATATTTTCTCCCATTCTGTGGATATTTTTTTTCTGTTTCTTTGAATAAAAATAAGTTACTAGGGCGCCTGGGTGGCTCAGTCGGTTAAGCGACTGCCTTCGGCTCAGGTCATGATCCTGGAGTCCCGGGATCGAGTCCCACATCGGGCTCCCTGCTCTGCGGGGAGCCTGCTTCTCCCTCTCCCCCTGCTTGTGTTCCCTCTCTCGCTGTGTCTCTCTCTGTCAAATAAATAAATAAAATCTTTAAAAAAAAAAATAAGTTACTAAATATACTGTCTGTAATTTGTTCTTTTTCTTCATCAGTGTATTATGGGCCTCTTTCAATGTCAAGAGAAAACTATGTCATTCTTTTCCCTACGTTATTTTTTTCCTTCCTTCCTTCCTTCCTTTCTTTCTTTTTTTTTTTTTTTGGTGGCATTCCATTATGATTGCTCCACAGTCTGTTTGACCAGTCTTCTGCTGAGCTTTACAGAGTCTTCAGTTTGTGTGTTGGTGAAAGACAAGGAATCAGCAACTCTTGGACTGGAGAGACAATCATCTACCTACTGTGTTGTCTTCTCCTGGATGATGTGAAAATGCAAGCGGGCACAGGAAGTGTCTCTAACCTGCTTACACTTCCTCTCAACCAATGCGGTTTCACAACCCCTACAGGCTCACCCCCACCCAGTGTCACCAGCCTGGCGCCTCTGTGAGAAAGTCCCACTGTAAGAGGCCCTGGGGCATTATCATTTCCTTCTTTCACCCTGTCTGGGTTGCCAGCAAATCCCCAGGGCTCTCTGAGCCTGGAGTGTTGGATTAGGTCCCTCCAGCTGCTGGAAAGATGAACTCCTGCATCATCGTAATGAGGCTCCTGCTGTCTGGGCCTTTTCTCTTTGGTAGGCAAGGGAAAAGGGGACGGGAAGGGAAGGGACATGTGTCTGTGGCCAGGGAAACTGCAGGGCTTTGTGGAACTGGAGTAAATGAGCAGCTGCTGGAGGGTGGGATTGGCCATAGGTGACCACGAGGCTCAGGAATCTTGGAGGGAGAAGGGGGAAAGTAAAGAAAGAAAGTCAGAGTCCAAAGTTGAGGCAAGGTCTGGAGGGAAAGACAGAGAAGGGAGACACAGGTGGCAACAGAGAAGCGGAGTGGAGTCTTAAAAGGAGGCAGATGGCTAATGGGTACCTGGAGCTGTCGCTGGGGTCTGGTCCTGCCCGTGGTACGACCGTGTACCACCACCTCAGCCCTTTCCCCTTTCTGCGCCTCAGTCCATTCGACCGAACAAATGGCCGGGCAGCTTCTCTGCCATCCTAGGATGCGGCGGAAAGAAGCCTGATGCCTGGAAGGAAAGCAGAGCCAGAAAGGACAGTTAGGGACTTGCAGAGGATGCATAGGCTGCTTGAGGTGGGGGTGACATGGGGGCATCTGAGCGCTAACAGAAGGAAGAGACTGGTGCATGGTAGGGCGGGCCGTAAGGGAGCATTAGATGAGAAGCAGTTTCACAGAGACCAGGGGATCCTGAAACCATGAGTCTGTGGGCAGAAGCCTGAGGCTAATTATCTTGGGTCTCAGGCCCAAAGGAGAAGTGGGTGTGTAGGGAGACGAACCCTGCCATGGGGTTCGCCTGGGGGCCCTTCCATCTGCCTCTTTCTCCGGGACCTCCGCCTTCTCACCCTTCCTTCTTTGCTGGGAGGTCAAGCGGGCTCTGGCTAGTAAGGCTTCGCTGCTTCCAGATTTCCCCGGAGTCAAGGCCCCAAGGGGGAAGGTCCCGCTCTGCCTCTCGTGCCGGCCGCCTGCCGGGGGGGGGGAAGGAGCCGGGTCTC